ATAAAAAAATCCAAGAAAAAAATATAAACTTAAAAATAACATGATCTTTCGAAGTGCATTTCATTCACAATCATAATCGTAATTGTAAAGTTTGATTGTTTTTAGGTAAAAGCTATTTTGTTCAAGCAAACATAAGAACTTGGAATATAATACTCGGAGTCGACTTGTTTATACGTGTGATTATGTTTACAAATTACACATTAATTCAACGAATTTGTAAACGCTAGCTGCTTGTTTCTGAGCCCGCCGACCCTCTCGAAACAGTTTGGTTACAGGAGGACGGAAGATTAATCGAGACAATGCTCCCCACAGCGAAGACTTCGGTCTCCACACCGCGTCGGACGTGAAAGATTTGACGCACGTAGCTTCTTGCTTGGTGTACACCATTCATTACACGCCAGCACTATTTCTGCACGAGTCAAAAAATTTAGTGCGGCGGAGAGATTTACAGATATATCACAAGCATCAAATATAAAGGCACCAGACAAAAGTAATCTCATTTTTTTTTAATTATAACAATATTTGTATTACAATGCGCAATTAAAGTTATTTTTTAATATTGATAATCAATATAATCCTATTCATGTTTAGAAATATAGTTCAAAAATATTATATTATACCTATATAACTCAATACATTATATATTTCGGGCACAAATTTCACTTTTTACAAGATACGAGTTGTATAGAAAAGCCACTATGCATCCAGCAACAGAATGGCCAAAAATTCAAAAGTTGGTAAACCAAAGAAGATCTGAATACCAGTTAAAATATTTAGAAAAAAACTTCGATAAATATATGGAAAAAGGTATATATTACATTGTAATATGAATATTGTTTGAAAAATTTGATTGTTACAATTCTCTGGTACCCTTACATTTTTGCTTGTGAGATATCGGTAAATCTTTCCGCCACATTAAATTTTTTAATTGTTTTGAATATTTGTAAATAAATCAAAAATTGAGTGTAAGATAAATATGAAGCCCAGAAAAAGAAAGTCTCGCATTTTAGGAATGGTACCAAAATATATAATGGCTCTTCAGGGGATTACTTAGGCTTATACTGGGGATTCGACCTGAAATGAAAGTGAATACTCTGACTTCTATTTGTGTTATATACTTTGACTATTGAGGCAATTCGGTTATAAATAGTGTTACCTTCATAATCACTGCCGTATAAATAAAATTTTGAATTGTTATGAATTTAACTTGTAACATTATCAAAACAAAGCATTGAAATGAAAGCGTGCGAGATAATGATACAACAGAATGTAAGATAAGTAAGTATAAATATTAGTTAGAAAAGCCGCGGTATAGCGTGTTGGTTTCTTGCCTCCTAGCTGTCTCAGAGATACGAGTACACAATACAATGAACAACGATAAACGCTCAACACAATTGGGTTGAAAGGTCTTAGGAGTACTTTACATTTCTTCGCTTTTGACGTTGCGAAGTTACACAAGGAAAAGCGCATTACAGATCTATTGCGGATTATAATACTGCTATTCTTTATAAATAAATAAATAAATAGATTAATTGACAAATCGACATAAAAATAAAAATAAATCAACGAGAAACACGGTCAGAGAAGAGCAAATTACATTCCTTCACTCGCATCATTTATTAGCATTCTGTCTTCGCAGTGCTCAAGGCTCATAAATCCCGTAATAAAATTTCGCATTGCTTTGTCAAAAATATGATTGATAGTAGATGCTTGTGTAAAATTCAGTGTAAGTATTAGACAAATGCTGAAATGTTCGAGTAAAAGCTATTTACATGAATTAATTAATTTTTAAACGTTATCGAGGCGAAAAAAATCAGATCTTTGCAAAATAAGTGCAAGGTGCCAACTAATTTAAATGATTGATGCCTGTGTTGGACTGTGAGCTAAATAAAATCGGAGTGGGGCCAACATACATGTGTAGATAATGTCATACTATTGCCAAAAAACAATACAACATATTTATGTTTTAACACTTTGTTGACCAGTCACGAGTTAACTCGTGTTTTTACGGCCGAAACCAGATATATTTGTAAAAGCTGTTGTTATAACAAAGTATTAGGATACGTTATAAAAGTCCAATAAAATTAATCGGAAAATATCAATATAAAATTAAATATCAATTTCATATTGATAAAGATTTGATGATCAAAGTATGTTTGAATACTCTGTGTGAAGGAAGCATAATATATTAGTTGTGTGTACAATAAAGGATGACTTGTATCTAATATGTAGTCCATATAACTGCTGGTTCTCGGACTAGCAACCGAAGCAACTAAACTATGTGCAGATCTCACCACAACTGAACATTCCAAACTAAGTTGGCGATGTATATTTGTTATGAAATTAGTTTGCATGCATTTTACAGTTTGAAATGAATTGTATTTAATGAAGTATATTCATCAATTGTGTGCTTTTATTATGCACAATATAACTATGTCTTATCTAATATAACAATATAATAATAGAGTTAAATATCTATTCAAGCACAAAATCAGAATTTAAAAATAATCATCGTTAATTCAAATAACAAGTTAAAATTGATCAAATGATACAAATATTTAGTAAGAAACAGATGAGCTAAAAGTTATTTTCACATACAAGTATAAGGATTATATCGTAATACTCATTAATAATCGTTACTCATAATATATCGTTAGAAATTTAATTTTAAAACTTTATGTCAAAACGTTTAAGAACATTTATATGTAATTACACACAAATATATGTAACAAATATACATAACGTAAATCAAGAGCACTGTATAGGTTAGTGGATACATGTTATTAACAACTAGATGTTAATATTTTTTTTAATAGAATGATTGTCGTCGAGGATAATTTAATTAGTTCAAATAAAAACACAATGGCCGCATATTCATTAGTACTATTTGCTTCAAGTTAGTACCAAAAATAATTAAAGAAAGTTTTAGTTATATCATTTGAGTTGTGATTAACTTTAAGAATAATTTATTCACCTAATTTTTGTGTATACAGTTGATTATTATTACTAAAACATGTGTATATATTTATTAAACTAAATAAGCAACCGAAGGAGAAGATTACGTACTTTAATTTTTCATAATCCAATAATACAGAGTGCAATAGTAGAATTCAGTACACAAGATAGTCGTTACAACGTAATTACATTATATACATGAGAGCTTTGAAATCTTCTCATGTTTTGGTATGACAAAAGCGAAGCATGCGTCAATATAAAAATATATGAGAACTAGTTGCAAGGTTTAAAGAAATCGAATTTTTGTTAAAGGTATCAGCGAAAGTTACAGGTGTTTTAATTGATAAAAGGACTCATTAATTCCAAATTTGCAAACGTGTCATAAAAATAAATCACAAAACTAAAAATACTACATATATATATATATATATATATATATATATATATAATATGCTTGTTTGTGCGTAAATTCATTGAAGTGTATATGTGCATCGAATGTAATATACATCGATAGAAGAAAATGTGTTTAATTCAGTGGGCAAATATTTGTTCAAGTGACAAAGACAATCCAGCATATATCCAATTAAATATGGAGGAGTAAGGTGTCATAGGTCGCGATGGGTTTGATCTTGCAAGGGATAGGGGTTGTGATCCGTTTATTCGAACACAAATTCGATTTGAGGATTACATTGCCGATTCCAAGATAAAGTTTTGAAACAGATATCGTCGTTACACAAGTCGGAAATAGGTTCAAAATGTATCGTATAAAAATAATTATTACAATCCACACGATTTTGCGTAACATATTTACTTCAATTATTTATCTATTTCTGAATATTTATTACGAGCATATTTATTCTAGAATACATTCATTCTATTCTTAGTTGATGCACGAACTGCGGATAGAAATATATCATGTTTCTATATTTAAGTTAGATAGTTGATGCGGGCGTATAAGTTTCGTGCAGAGTGAAATATAGACCTTATTGAGTTTATGGCTATAAATTATTTGTGATTATTAATTAGTTTCCATGACTATATGTATAGTTATATAATTATTAATTGCTGGATTGTCACACTTTTTAAAAATTCATTGACTAAATGTAAAATAATGCATGTATATTAAAATGAAATGTCAGTTTCAAGGCAGAAAATATGCATAAACAAATCAATTATATATTATAAAGTTTGTTAAAAAATTATCGAAATTTAGTTTTACAAGTTTAACATAATCATCATATAAATATTATTTTAAGAGTCTAATTAGAATAGTAGTCTAGCTACTGACTGATGTGTTGTATTATTAAGAAACTACGGTATCATGGGCAGTTAGAAATGAAAACTAACGATAACTTTCATTCACTTTCGTGATCCGTTTAAAGGTAGCAAATTCAACGTATTACAGTAGGAATAAGTTTACAGCAGTAGTAAGATTCTAATGCGTTCATTCGAATGTGATCAGATTCTTATAGGAACATATCCTGGCATTCTATTTAGACTCCAAATTGACTTATTAACAGCATGGAATCTTTAACATAAAAACCTAATATATACACATAAAAGCAATTCTGGAAGAAATAAAAAAGATTTCAGATAAAGATTTGAACAAATCACAAAGGACAGTGCCCGGTTATTAATTCTGCCTCTGATCATTGTATCTTTAAATTTTAACATCATATTAGTTAATGATTAATATTTCATGTAAAATTATTCTCAATTCAATTTCAAGTTTGCATTGAAATACATTTGTGTAAATAACTAAAATGTGCAAGTAGTTTAAAAACAAATAGAACACAGTATTATTAGCACATGATTAGTTGATGCTTTTAGTCATGATAACGATGCACGACAAAACTCATTGATGTAACAATATGTATACGCATGACATTCGGTTGACACTTTCGGTTATTACGACAGCGTGGTACATATTCGGTGTGAATATTTGCCACACAAATAAACAAGACAATCATCGCATGACACTAATTAATATCTATCCGCATTGAATAATTCATTTACCGCGTAGAGATGACATGTTATTTACTTACATCAGAACTCTGGGACACAAGCAGCAAGCAGGTGTAAATCTTTTCGCGCCGATAGCGTGCCACTTTTCACACTAATCCGTGATGTTTATAATATACACGTTATTCTCTGTATGTAATTATTGATAAATTAGATGAAGCACTGTAATGTTTATAAAATATCCTCTACACACGCACACCACACTATTCTACTTTAATATGATTAATTTTTAGAGAAAAATTATTAAATAGACAAAAACGCATTGTTTGTTCTGTTTGTAAATATTTCGGCAATTTTTAACTTGACGCGAAACCGACACTGAAAGCGTTTAAGCTATGCGATAAGGCGGTTTATGTACGCGGGGAGCAAAAATAGCACGACCGTCCAATTCAGCAGACGCTTGTATACTGACGCAAAAGCGCTGGCTTCTTTACAACGCACACTGACTGATCGCGAAGAGTGCGCCGTGAACAGCGAGCGCTGATTGTATGCTGTACATACATTGTAAAGAGGGGGCACAAATACACGGCCGGAGACGACACTGCGAGCACGGGACGGCACGATATCGCCTGCTTTTCACGGCTGCTTCATGCGCCGTGGGGAAAACAGGGACGCAGCGCGAAAGGGACTTGTCTGGTTTCGTCGGATCCCCAGCGCGGTCGCTCTTGCTCTTGCTCTTACTCGGGCGTTCAGGAATATCGCGGAGTATCGGAATCGCGCGGGACGTAGGATTTGCGGATTATTCCTTCCTTCTTTTACCAGTGAACAAAGCCCTCACGGAACGATGAATTCGCTACCCCTAGGACATGTTTCTTTATCGCACGCTTCTAAGCGAACGCGGATATGTCTATCGCGCTCACCCTCCACGGCCCAACGCGGTTCCATGAGTCGCGATGTGCCGAGTTCCTCGAGGAATGAAATGGAAGAGTTGCGTGCCTGTATTCTGTTGTTCTGTGTTCTATGTGCGCTTCCACAATGCGCAATGCACCAAAACCTTGGGCACCGCTGAAATACAGGGATGTAGCCAATGTGACCATGCGGCCGCTGGTAAGTTAGTCAGCCAGCGACAGCCGCATGGCACGGAATGATTAGCGCCCACGCGTTCCACGCATAGCCACACCGTCGCTTATCACGTGCCCATTCATCTCGTACAATGAAAAACCATATGTTTCATATATGAATAGTCATTGTGATCTTGAGCAAAACAATTAATATACGAAATAGGCATCACTTCGATATATTTTTATGAATATTCACACTATATAACTAAACTTTTAAATATATGTTAAATAATAAGCCACAAATAGCAATACATATAAGAGTTCTTAAAGCAGTTTAAGTATTTGTTTAAGTTGAGTTTCGTAAACACTTTGACTTCCTTCAATTCAAAATTTATTTTTGTCCGCAGTTATAAAATCTTAAGCAATGTTTCAGTAAAACATAATAGTTTTATTGAATTTCAAAGCATCTCAAATTCGTATAAATTATCTTGCAATAAAAACATTTCACACATTTATAATATGTTGATAATATGTTGCAATATATTGATTATTTCACATAATTTCATTGTAATCTACTGTTTATCACAATAGTGTACTAAAAAGTACGAGTGGTATATGTAACGGGTTCTATCCCTTGTATGATTTTACCCTCTAGGTTTCTCTAGATTAGAATAACATGACAATGTTATTCTAGTGTGAAAAAAATTTAAATTTTGTTTTAACAAAATACCGTCTTAAATATTGTGTATTCTTTTAATTCAACTGATTCATTGGTACTTATCCAAGTCGTGCATGGCATCCTGTATTAACGCAAATGGCTGAAACTTCCCGTACGGAAAATATTTTTTTTTTATATTAGATTTTTGAGAATATATGAGTTTTGAAAAAATTGCTATATTTATATTCCAAAATATTTTGGAAATTTTGAATTTTGTTTTTCAAATAAATCGCGCTGTGTTAACTGCGCAGAGACGAAATATTTAAACGCGTAAGCGCGCGTCCCAGTCTAACGAATAAACATTGGTATAAAACCTATAGAAACTGTATAAAATATCTGATAACTTAAAGATATGTCTAATGATCATTTTTGATCGCCAAATAGCATTTTTTTACTTTTTGTAATTGGATTTTGGAAACCGCTGGACCTGCCTTCCCAAAAATTTTATCGGTTTTCATTCCGTCAATACAAATAACACAAAGTTTTATTGAATCATTCCGATCGGAAGCTCAGTTAACTCAAAAACTGAATTATCAATTTTGGCAATTTTCGCCTTTGCCAAAAACTAGTCAGCACTCCTCGCCGCCAATACAAACAAATATTTTTTTTAATTATTCAAATCGGTTGTTCCGTGTTCAGGAAATCGTCGAGGAAAATTTGTATCCGAACACACACATATTTCATACATCAATATTTTCTAAGGTATGCCAGAATGTTCACCTTTGAAATGTAAAGATATATAAAAAAAATCTTTTACGATTTTTTGCCATTACTGTAAGTTACCCTACGGGAAGTTAAATATACAAATTCGTTTAAAACATAGAAAGTTCTATAAATAACCAATAGTTTTTTTTTATACAGTAATAATCTAAATATATATTCTGTACAAATAACATTCAGTATTGTCAATGGATAATATTGATAGGTCGGCATATACTATTATGTTCGGTGTTAGCTCTATCCGTAGACAAGACATATGATATCGGATACCCATCCATACAACTGATTGATGGCAATAATTCTGCCGAATATCATTTCAATATATTTCCAACCATACCAATGTTATGAATTTATTGAAAAAGTATCTACTTGAGTAATCAATAAAACGTCGAGATCAAGTACAAACTAGTGCAATGTTCGAGCAATATTAAATGTTTTCAAATAGATTATCATAAATAAATACTGTAACATTGTCTAATATTTATAAGAATAAATTATATGAACTGAATTGCAAAGTTGAAAATATTTGTTTAAAGTATATTTGTTTAAAGTATATTCGAACTTAAGTCAAAATTACAATTAAAATCAGAATTATTTTCTATATACAAAAAAAATATTTTTTGAAAAAAAAATTTTTTTGAAAAAAAAAATTGAAACAATTTTTTTTCCAAAAGCAATTATTTTGTTGAAACAAGCAGAAAGTTCTTTGAATCATTCAAATCGGATGTTTAGTTCTCTCAAAAACTGCCATTTGTTACACATTTAGCTCTGTATCTCTGAAACTGCTGGACTTGCCTTTGCCAAAAACTAATCACCCCTTCTCCCCGTCATTGCGAATTGAATGTTTTTTGGATCATTCAAATCGGATGCTCCGATCTTTCAAAAACTCGATTTCTATTTTCTGCACTCTTTGCTCCGTATCTCCGAAACGGCTGGACCTGCTTTTGCCAAAAACTAATCAGCACATCTCCCTATCAATAGGAATCGAATGTTTTTTGAACCATTCAAATCGGTTGATCGCGCCCAATCGCGCGCCCTAAAACGTGGACGAAAAATTATACCCATACATACATACACACACACATCCATTTTTTGCCAAAATGTTCAGAAACCTTCAAAACGTCGAGAAATGTAAAAATTTTCAATTTCGATTTTTGGACAATTACGATAACTCACCCTACGGAAAGTTAATAAAGTAATGAAAAATATATGATCTGCTACTTTAATTATATATATATATATATATATATATATATATATATATAGATTATTTTTATATACTACATTTTATTATTGAATTTTTTTGAAAGTTTATATATATATATATATATATATATATATATATATATGTATATATATGTTGACAGTTTTGGTCAGACATAACACTAATTATTAAATCTTAGTAACAGAACATACATATTGTTAAAATATACTAGATATTCTTCCTTGTCAACTTATTTCGCTTCAATAAATAATAATACAGAACAGATAAAACACATAATTTTAAAAGACTAAAAACTATAGCGAGACATTTGTCAAACTGTGTTTTGTTTTTGAAGTAATATTTTTTTATAAAAAGTGTCGCGGCCCGCGATTGGGCCCTTTTAACCATTTTTCGAAGGCCTGGTAAATTTTACCGCATCGGCAACGGATTGGGCGAGATGTCGATAGCGGATGACCACAATCCTAAAAAATTTTTCGCTCACGCAGAACGGGACCTAACGTCTATAACATGGACAAATGCTATCAATAATCGGACGATTCTTAGCGTTGCCTTAGCAAGCAAAGATTTTATGATGCTGGAAGGATCCGTGGTGCTAGGTTGCCTGGGTATTGCAGGCCCTCGCATTCCTGTCATGGGATCAGCGGAGCGGGCAAATTTTGACATGAGTTTGGAGTCGTTTATTAGAGTAAGTTTCAGAAATACAGAGGTGCTATAATGGATACTGTTAATATACTAAAACAAGAGCATTTGAAAGAAACTTTTTTAGTATTAAATTCTTATTAGAAATTTACATACTTTTACAAAATTATCGAAGAAGATGCGTTGCAAATAATGAAAGATTTTTGATAAAACATACACTATTACGTATTTTAATAAAAGAAATTATAATGATCAAATGTAATTTTAATACTGTTTTAATATTGATCGCAAAAAAATCAAGTTAATTAAACACTGTATTTAAAACTAATTTTCAAATTCAGTTAATTACAATGTAGGAGCTGTTCAGAAAAAAAATCTTTTAGTGAAATATACTTGCTAATGAAAATAAAAATTGTAAACCAGATTTCGAATATTGATATGCATCAAATATTATTCTATATATTATACTCAACTTATTTTTCTAGGATAACATGTTAAAAAAAATAATTTAATGTAACAGTTGTAGAAATAATTTTGTTTATAGACCATAACGTTCGTATGTATTAATGTTTCACGGCAAATTAAGGTCATTGCCATTTTAAAAAATGTTCATTGTTCTCATATAAAGTCCATAAAAATGTTAATTTAAATTAAAGACCGTAGTTTATTACCAAAGCAAGGCGGGTATATACTATAATATTTATGTTAATTAAATTGATGAACAATTCAGCAAAAATGATACGAAACATGCTGAAACCATGTAATTTGTGTTTATTCTGATTTATATGCTTGATCACAGATCTATATTACACATTGAGTGAATTGTTAAAGCACAAATAAATTTTAGAATCTACGTCCATGGATATAGTTCTTCACAACGACAAGTATACAAAAAGGGCAGAAAGAAAAAGTTCAAATAGATTTTTATTTACTAGTACACAAACGTTTTTTAAAGTTTTCTAATTCTTGGCTTATGAGTTCGATCTAAAAACTTACTTAGGGTGTTTAACCTTTTTTTATGATATTTATACTGTTTTATAATTATAATACTATAATATAAGAGTATCTACCTATAGAATCTACTC